AACACAGCGCTGACTGACTGACTGACTTACTGAATGAACTGAATGAATGAACGAACGAGTGAACGAACGAACCATGGAAGGAACTAAGTGAAGGCATTCATGCAAGGGCGAAGGAATGAAGAAACAGACAAAGGAATCAACAAAGGAAGTAAGATGAATAAAGGCACGACAGACTGAATAAGCCACTTAATGGAAGAATGAAGAAATGGAATTAAGCTACGAACCTATGCTTAAATGAACATCGCTATGGTTGCTGCTGCTGCTGCTGCTGCTGCTGCTGCTGCTGAGAAGAGAGACATGATTGCTGTGGCGATGACGGATTCCAGCGCCAATCGGCACTGAACATCACCCAACCAGAGCACATGTACCACGCGGCTGCGCTCTCCGGTCTAGATTCGAACCTGCACCTCTCGAGCACTGCGAGGCCAAATCCTCAAGCCAAAGCTCAAGCCCCAGCTCCACATCCGAATGTTTGTAGCCTGCAGCCTCTAAACCGCCACTCCTGCATATCTCTGGGAAATAAATGAAGCCTAGACCCTGAGACAGGAGAGATCAGGGTTTAGGGTTTAGGGCTTCGGGTTTAGGGTTTGAACTTGTTTGAACCCTAAACCGTAAACCCTTAGTGCTCAGAAGGAGACTTCGGCCTCGATCGCCCTGCATGTCGTTGGTCCAGGAATCAATGCTGCTACCGGGTGCCATCTCCTGCGAAGCTGCAAAGGGTCCAAGCTCTGTACAGAGCCATAAGGTTCTGCATAGGGTTCCTTTAAAGGGTTTTTATGGCTATATCATGGGCTTAGGGTTTAAGGGCCCATGTGCCGAAATAGCAACTACTTTGGTCGTAAGGTCGTCTTTATGTGGGTACTTTAGGGCCAAAGAATATACCACTTGGGTACATGGACCCCCAGGGTGTGACTGCCCTTGCTGCTCAGGGTTGAGGGTTTTGGCGGCTGTACGGTTAAACGCCAAATCCAGTTGTGCCAGATGGTATAATTGAAAGTACAAAGAATTAACAACTCACTCAAAAAACCTAACATAAACATGTAGCGTGTGCATACATGTTATACATACTATATAAATATGAATATACATATATATATATACATTCATGCATACATGCATACATACATATGTATATATATATATACATATCTACACACTATACATCTATATATATATATAATATGTATTCATTCCCCTGAAAGGTTACAGGTTTCCTGCACCACACCAGAAGCAGTCCTAATGTCTCACAATACGTCTTTTCGCAAAGGTCGCAGACCATGGTTTTGGGGGAGCAAAGCTTAGGGCCTGGGGGTTGGGGGTTTAACCCTGAACTTTACTCCCAAAACCCCACGCGCTGACATCGTAAGCCCTGACAGGAAGCCATTAGCTGACAGTAATATCCCTGAAGGATTCTAGTCCCCAACGCAGAATATACCCTAGACGTCAGGCACCTAAATCCTGCACATGAAGTCCAGAAACATCCCTACAAAATCGGACCCTAGCAGTTTAGGCTTCGGGGCTTCCGGGGTTTCGGGTTTCGGGGTTTAGGGAAAAGACTCTTAGAAAAGGCACCCTTAGACGAGCTTTCTTCTGGCGCACCTGAGAGATCGGAAGTCCTGTTCCTAAACTCTAAACCCTAAACGGGTCCTTGGGCACGAAAAACCAAAGCGGATTCTGCGAACCAAGTTGCGCAGAGCTCGAGCCAAAAAGGCCCGCCATGAACCGGCTACAAGCTTACGTATAGAGCTCCTTTCAAGGCTTCTTTTGGGGCTTTAAGGTTCTGTAATCTATTATGGGGGGGGGGGTGGTATATGATGGATTCATAACAGGATTTAAGTAACTCAAATAGTATATTTTGGGCTTATAAGGCCTAGTTAGGTACTCTGGGGCCAGCGTATATAATTACCAGACTATACTACGCTTTGGACCCTTTGGGTAATCGGTTTAGAGATTTGGCGCTTACGAATTTGGGCTTTCGGGGTGTCGGGCTTTGTGGCTAAGGCTTTGATGTTTACTGTAGGGTTTACGCGAGCAGCCCTAAACCCGAAACCTGAAAAGTTCAATCCCAAACTGAAACTTCAATCGGCGGGGTTCTTTAAAAGTGTCACGCATTTTACCGGTTAGTGAGGGTGTAGCCTTTGGGGTTCGGGGCTCTTTTGTGCCTGGAAGAAGCAGGAAACGGTCAAGAGTTATGTGAGACGACTCCACACTCCCCAATTGCCATAGCATACACGCAGTACTCCCAAGAGTCCATGTATTCAATAGCCTATACTGTGCTTTGGCCAGAAAGTATTCCATATGTAGGTACTTTGGGGCCAAAGTAAATACTATGTGGGCACATGGACCCTTAGGGAATCAACTTTCAAGACGCGAGAATCTGGGGGCTGGGCATAACTTTCGACGTCCCTGGCCTTGCAGGAAACCCACTTCCCAGACAATAGGGTACGTGCGCAAAGGCTACGTGTAATAGATGTGATCTTCCCTAATCCCGAAGCGGACACCAGTGCCATCACCGTTGCGACGACGACAAGTCGACTACATCCTCTATCCATACGGCCCTGAAGCCTAATTTGTTGACCCTATGCAAACAAAACGACCAAAGTTGATGATCCCCTCAGCGCCAATTCTGCACCATGCTTGTTTTGAGTTGGATCTAAGCCGTCATATGCCATCCTCGACTATAAAAGCGCATTGATCAGCCTATCTTCAGCTTCGCAACAAGTCGTTCTTGTCCGTCAACATCCTCAAAGCTGTCAGTTCAATTCTCAAACGCCGCATTTTCAGGATGGATACACCCACTATCTGTGTGCACGTGCACTTCACCCTACTGCAGTTGCAGTGAAAACTGACAGGAACCGGCCAAGCCCCATGCGCGCACTTCCCCCCACTACAGCTGAAGTGAAAACTGACATGAACCGGCCAAGCCCCTGTCTTTAGATGGATGTACTATCTCGCTCTCTCGCTCTCGCTCTCTCTCTCTCTCTATCTCTCTCTCTCTCTCTCTCTCTCTCTCTCTCTCTGTGTGTAAATGAGCTATGTAGATGATGTATCTATCTATCTACCTATCTACCTATCAGCTATCTATCTGTCTGTCTATCTATCTATCTATCTATCTATCTAACAATCGATGTATCTCTCTATCTGTCTATCTGTCTATCTAACTATCTATCTACCTGTCTATCGACTTGTCGATCTATCGATCGATCTATCGATCTATCGATCTATCTATCTATCTATCTATCTATCTGCATACTTATATATATATATACATACATACACATACACACATACATACATACATACATACATACATAAATACATGCACACATACATACATGCGCACACACACACATACATGCGCGCACACACACACACATTGGAGTATGCATAGACGTTTGGTTGTCCATGAACACTGAGCACCTGAAACTGGAGTTGGCACCAAGACTTAGGGCTTTCGTCTTCAGAGAAGTCCTGCTCGAAGGTTCATAGAAGCCCACAAAGAAGCGCTTGTCGGCCTACATGCGATACATCTCCCTTTCCTACACGGACACCCACTGTAAGTTTATAATGTGCCGGCTGAAGGGAAGTCGTAGAACTACTACCAAAAACTTTTTAACCTCTTATGCGACCATTAATTATCTCCACCACGCCCGGCAGAAACCAGCACTTGCCAGCGGGACCATGTCCAAATTCACCACATGCGTGACCCCCTTGATGTCAAGCCCGCGGGCGCATACCTTCCATCCAACCGGGGTCCAGAGTTTAGGGTTGAGGTTTAGGGCTTACCCTTAGCATCAAAATAGCCGAAAAGCCGTATATAATAGGGTCTTTGGGCCCAAACGCCTTAAGATATGAGTCCTTTGGGGTTTAGGGCTTAGGGCTTAGGATTTGTTGATGTTTGAAGAACTGAATTCACGGTTGTCAGGGCAGCCTGGGGCTCAGCAGTCGAAGTTACGGTTCAGGGCTGATGGTTTAGGGGTTAGGGGTTAGGGGTTTAGGGTTTAGGGGTTTAGGGTTTAGGGGTTTAGGGTTTAGGGGTTTAGGGGTTTAGGGGTTAGGGCTTAGGGGTTAGGGGCTTAGGGGTTCATGGCCAACGGCTTTAATCTAAGCAATAGCAGGACCGAGCTCGTGGGTTCGGAGCTGTCTTCCATGTTTTATTCACAGTCAGTGTTGAAAAGTGGCGGGGGGGCGGGGGTGGGGGGGGGCGGGGGCGCGGGAGCGGGCGAGATGTAGAACGTCTAAGAATGAACATTAAACGGCACGGCTACGGTTTCCCGGCTGCAAGACCAGATCGTCGCAGCACCTTTTGAAGCGCAAAACCTAAACACTAAACCCCAACGTATGTTCATGTCTACCCCCCCAGTGAGGCCCGTCATAGAAATATTCACTCATATCTACATAAACCTTAAGGGTCCAAGTAGTCCTTTATTTATGGTTTTGGGTACCCCTAAAGACCCAAAGTCTTTAAATAATGAGTACTTGGACCCTTAGGGAAAGGCTTCAGGGACTTATGTCTGGCGACGAGGTCAAGCTTCAGAACCGTTGGTTTCCTGCTTCTGAGGACTCCTACTGTTGATGATAAAAATCCTGTATTGCCTTAAGGACCCTAAACTATGGCTAACTATGGGAAATATTATTATCGTACATTCCTTATTATGGGTAATGCAGGATTTATTTCATCAACCGTACTTTCAGGGGTTGGTGTCCATGGCTTTGGGGATTTGCTTGAGGATGACACACACACATATATATATATATACACACACACACGCGCGCAGACGTGGCACTGCAAAGGACGCAAGCAATGCATCAAGCCTCCGACATGGTGTTCGGTCCAAGCGGACGCACACGCCAACACAACACTTGTCAAGAATGCAACACCACGCAGACAGAGTGATACTTTCCTGCGAAAAGCCTTCCAAAGCCCATACTGCTTGGGTTGATGCCCCTTTACCCTATTCCCCTTCACCCTAAACCCCTAAACCCCAGGGTCGGAGCACATCCGTGGCGAACATAAGCCAGCACTCGCCCTTTGTGAACTTCTCGAGGTCCCTATCGCGGTCTTTCCTGGGACATCTTGGTTTACGGTGTCAAGATTTACCTGGACCCTAAGGAACCTACATGATTAGTGCTCCCTAAAAAAGGTAATTTGCGGCTTCGGAAAGTTTCTGGGGTGAGTGTTTAACGGATATGGAGGAATTTTATATATATATATATATACATATATATATGTGTGTGTAGTTAGAATATGTAATTAGAAACAAATTCATTTCTTACAACTTAGCATGTCGAAGCCCTCAAAGAAACATCCCCTAATCACGCTTACAGAAGCAACCATGAGCAAGAAAGACCCTGATTGCACCGCGAGGATTCTGGGGCTTGTCTCCGTGAAGCGCCACGGAGTCGAAGCCTTTGCCCCAGAAAGTCTTCTGAAAGGAGTCGATTCGCCTGCAACACATTCAGGGTTTAGGGTTAATTATTAGATGCACAAAAACACTATACCTATATAACTATATACCCCAAACCCCTAAAGCCCTAAACCCTTATCCCTCAGGCTTTGGTTCAGGCGTCAGGGCCGATGTTCCCCTAGATCTACAAAGGACATTGGCGGACTTCAGGAGCAAGGCGCACACTGCAATGCCTAGATGAAACCCCCTAAACCCTAAACCCCCTAAATCCCTAAACCCTAAACCTCCCACTCAAACCTTAAACCTGACTCCAAGAGATTCGTGCCTGCTCTTCGGGTCTCTGAAGCGAGTCCGACTTCTGGGGTTTGATGCATAAACGTGAAGCCCCAAATCCCTGAACCCCAACTATACAACCCTAAACCCGAAGCCCCGAATGCAACAAGGAACCAAGAACGCTAAACCCCAAGTCCGATGGCCTAAACCCTAAACCCTAAACCCCTAATATAAACCCTAAACCCTATACCCATATGGGAGTTTCCGAAAATCAGGGTACCATATTTTGGGGTCCTTATAATAGGGATNNCCCCCCCCCCCCCCCCCTTAAAACCCTAAGCCTGAGAACCGAAGGCCTTTTGGTGTTTGCGAAGCAGATGACTTTGGCATCATCCGAAAGTCCGGACAGGATCTGCCAAAGCTTGTCGTCCTCGTGTTTCGGTGAAGAGAGTTAGGTGTTAAGTTGGGTGGGCTTAGGCCCTAAATCCTACCTGGACCCCCAAAATATGTACAGTAATAGCCTTTTATGGGTCTTGGGCCATTATTTTACCTACTTTTGCGGGTTCAGGTAAGGTAAACCCTAAACCTCTAAATCCCTTAAGGGGCTATGGTTTTCGGATCTTGGACACAGGCTTTGGGGTAAAGATTCAGGGGCTTCGGGCTAAACATATCTCATGGCTACGAAGCCATGAACCCAGGGTTTGAGGTTTAGGAGTTTAGGGTTTAGGGCTTTAAGGTTTTAGGGTTTAGGGTTTATTTAGGGTTTGAGGGTTTTGGGGATCGGAAACCCCAAAAGCCCAAGTAAAGCTCCAAAGAGACCTTAGGGGCGAGGGTTTAGGGGTGCTCCAAGGGCCTTTTGACTTTTCGGGACTCTCAGAGTCTTTGCCTTGCACCCTCCAGCCCAACCTCGAATCTCCGATCCCCGAAAATTTACGGTCTCTCCCTAGACCCTAAACCCTAAACCGCAAACCCTAAACCCTAAATCCCCAAATCCAGGCCCTAAATACCCTAAAGCTCAAATCCCAAAATCCTTAAAACCCCTCCTTCTCGTCGTCTCCGAGCTTGAAGAACTCTTGGCTAACAGCCTTGTTAGCTGCCAAATCCTCCGTGTCGCCCACATTCAGGTGCCTCAGCCGTCGGTGTAGGGTAGAGTGGTTTGGGGTTTAGGGTTTAGGGGTGTAGGGTGTAGGGGTGTAGGGTTTAGGGTTTTTTCAGCCGTCATGGCCAACGCTCGGCCCTAGTCTTTGGGGTCTTATGGCTAAGGGTGTGGGATCCCTAGGGTTTCTAGACGTTTCGAGTGTTTCGGGTGTCTGAACCCCCAAACCCAAACCCTAAAGCTCTAAATCGTAAGCCTTGCTCATGAAGCAGAATGGGTAGTTCTCCAAATTAGGGTCCCTTTTTAGGTCCCCAACATAGTACGGCGCCCTTATACAAAGGACCCTAAAAAGGGACCCCAAGAAAGAGAACTAGCCGAATGGATCCAAGACAAGCAGCAAGTAGTCCGGCTGCAAGTACCTGAGATGGCATCATCTTGGCTGGCGAGACTGAAATTAGGGTTTAGGGTTTAGGGGTTTAGGGGTTTAGGGTTTAGGTTGCATTCAGCGAAGATCTCAACCCTTGCATCTAGTTAGATTCCATCCCTGTACCCTAAACCATCGGATGACTTTATTCTTCAGCTGCTTGCCCTGGCAAGCAACCAAGATGAGAAGGGCATTTGGCCTAAAATGCATGGGCCGTAACAAGCAGAATCGGGTTCTTTTAAGGTGGCTTATTCCTAAACCCTAAACCCGAAAAGGGTGGCTTTCAGAGTTCTATGTTCTAGGGACCTGCTTTGTTGGAGCAGAGGTCGGGGCCGTGTTCTAGTGGAGCATTTGTAATCGGAATAAGAAACCCTGAAGAAAAATACTGGTATTTCGCCACCCCCCTACATTATATTGCGAAGGCAGAACCCGGTAAGCTACATCTGAATGGTCATTTCGGAGAATGCGAGGGAGCCCTGATACAGATCCTGAATTACAGGATTCTTTGTAGTAGGACCCTGTAATCGACCTGAGTGGGCCCCCCCAATTGAATCTCAGTAGTAGTAGGTGATGATGCATAGAAATGTGATCCCAAGATGCTTCTCAGCGATGCGCCGGACAGCCTGCAACCGAGACATCGGGGCTGCTCACCGAGGCCCAAAGGATCAGAGCTATATGAGTGGGGGATTAGGGATTGGGTTTTTTGGTGTAGGGCTTTGGGTTTCAGGCCGTATGGCGTTCCTCAGACACCCCCAAACTCCGGGTGTAGTTCTCGACACAATGGCCAAGACTGAGGAGAACGACGGAAGGTCACTGCTGCTTAAAGCACGCACGAGGACTGCTGATACAAGCTTAGCCGCCTGTGTGACTCCTGCGATTTACTTGTATCTGTATGTGGGCCGTTCTGGAACGAGGCACAGTAAAAACAGTCGAACTGTCAGAAACTGGGCTAAAGGCTTGGTACGACTGGTACGAGATGTATCTGCTTCTCTACACGTGTTGTATGCTAAAGTCTCCCTCCCTACAGCCCAGCGCTCTCGTTCTGGGGAAGGTGACCTTTAGGAAACGGACAAGGACATGCCAAAACTTCAGCAATAAACCCAAAACCCCTAAAGCCCAAAACCCTTTAAACCCTTTAAACCCTTTAAACCCTAAACCCAAACCTCTAAACCCTGAACCCGAAGCCCTAAACCCTAAACGAGCACGAACGGGCCAGCAGCGCAAAAGAGCGGCTTGTTTCCAACGACTAGAACCCCTTAGACCCAGAGATTGCCCCTTTATGTTATACCAGCCCGGTTTAGGGGCTTAGGGTTTAAGACACCCCGACCTGATTGTTTGATTTCTTTCAAATATCTCGGCCCCAAAGAACACGCACGAGGCACTGGACCACCAAGGCAATTTGCATCTCCAGAGAAACAGGTCAACCAAGGTTTACGTCCAGGCCCACACCTTGAACCCTAAACCCCTAAACCCTGAAACCCTATACCCTAAACCCCTATACCCTAAACACCTGAACCCCTAAACCCTAAACCCCTAAACCCTAAAACCCTATACCCTGAACATGATGTAGATTGCCAGGCTCTTTCTTCTTCCTGAAGAATGCCCTTTAAAGGCACCCTCAAAAAGGAACCCCACAGATCGAGTGCCTTGGGCCAGGTCGCCGTG